ATATTAATGTATAATTAATAATTAATTTTCAAATTAATTAATATTAGTAATAATTAAATTTTATTAATTTTTATTTATAATTAATAGTAATAAATAATAATTAATATTAATGAGGGTTATAATTGGAAAAAGTGACAATAAGCTACCAAAATGCTACTCCAAGTAGCGTTTCACTAAGCTAGCTTATAAGCATCCAAACGTGTACCTAGAAAATAAGATGGCTTATTTTTGCCAAACAATGCCATTATGTTCTGAATTATGCAATTTCCTTTTTGACTAGTTGAAGTGTTGCGTTTTTTCTAATTGTACCAGATAAAGAGCTGGGAGGTGTCATACCTTTTTAGCGCTTATGGTGTCCGTCTGCACCACACAGTAAGTATTCATTATGTTTGTAAGGATACATCAAGTATCATGTGATATCAATATATTTATTTTCCTAATTTGCAGATTGTATAGGGTGAATGAGTTGCTAAAATTTTCCTGTGAAATGGAATTTTATGTATGAAACAGTGGCAAGCTGTGATTCTTCCTCTTTCCTTGACTTCTCTAATGTATGCTGGATCATTTGTCCTTAAATTCTTCTCACTATGGAGCTCTTGGGCTGAGCACGAGGATCATGGGATGGATCTATCATTTAATGGCTTAAGAAGTGTTTTTCTAAAGCTCATTAACTTGACGTTATCAGTTGTTTCCAATATTTCAGCATGGAGAATGTATATTGTGGTCAGTTTGCTATTTCAGTTCTTTTTTAAGTTTTATTTACTTTTATCATCTGTCTGTTTTTTTCTAATGTGACAGTGGATTTTCTCTAATATACAGGCTCCCCTTACAGAAGAGTTGGTTTTCAGATCTTGTATGATACCTTTACTTCTATGTGGAGGATTTAAACCATATACAGTAATACTTCTCTCTCCTGTTTTTTTTAGCCTAGGTGAGTGAACGAATTTATTCCTGGCATATTCAAGTGCATTATTTATTCATGTAAAAGCTCTATCTTCACCTGTTCTTAGGTCAGCCTGTCTGTATCGGCTCGATGAATGTATACACACACACATATATTCCATACTGGAATTGTGCATGCAGGTGCAAAAGCATCCTAGATTTGAGATGTTAACCACACGTCAAAGTCTTCACATCTAGAATTTAACAATTTTGTGAATGGAAATGTGAAAATGTGAAGTTGAAGGTTTTGCCAACAATGTGTCCCGCCTCAACTTCAGTTGATATGAATCCCATTAATACTGCCATAGAGTTCTTACAACTGTCTCTTTGCAGCTCATTTGAACCATTTATTGGAGTTCTACATGCAGCAAGATACCAGCTTGCTGAAAGCTTGCATGGTTGTAGGTATGCTCACTTTTACAATTTGTAGTGTGTACTAGGTTTTTTACATGTTTGATGTTAAAGAGTTTTATAATGTTGATGATGTCACTTGTTTCGACTGCTGATTCATTGAATATTTCTTTCCTATTTCTCAGGTTTTCAGCTTGGCTACACTGTGATCTTTGGGTCATATGCATCATTTCTCTTTGTTCGAACTGGTGAGTGTTTGTTCGTCAAATACATGCTTATATTCCTAAATGTTGCATATTTGGGTCTTCATATATAAACTTTTCTTCTAAACTCTAATTGGTCGCTTGATATCTTATGAACTCTCTCTAATTTTAGAAATGAATCTTTATTTTGTGCGAAAAAACAAGATTTTTAGACTGTGCATCAATGAGAATGCCCCATCTAATATTTCTTGTTAATTGCAGGACATCTAGCAGCACCACTTGTGTCACATATGTTTTGCAATTTCATGGGCCTTCCTGCATTCTTTTCACAAAAGACAGGTAACAAAAAATGTTTTCATTAATGCAATTATGATACCATAGCTAGTAGCACTCATGGATCAGTATTTAAAATGCTCAACTGTTAATCCTTTAAACATCTTATCTTTAAACTTGTGTTCTGACCGGAAATTCAGGGATGGTGAGTGTGGGATTCGTGGCAGGGGTGTTGGGCTTTGTATATCTTTTGTTTCCACTCACTTCTCCAGACTTATACAATGATAGAATCGATGATTGCAAATGTTGGCATAGATACTGTGATTGGAGCTAGAGATTATGCTGCTGCTTATTGATACCAGATGTAAGCCCAAAAACTGTGAAAACAAATTGGTTTTTATCAAATCTCATTATCATTTGCTTGATTTTGACATGGCTAATTGATCTCTCAAGTGGCTAGGGGTGTTGTAACCTGTAATCGGACCCAGAATATGGAAATGCGCTAAGGTCTTAGGTAATAGTTTTTATGTTTTAGTCCAACATGAAAGGTTCTTAGTTGTTATGTAGGTTGATTGTATTTCAGTGTCTCAATATGTATTGGAACATCCCAAGCCCAAAACGGCAGGCTGACCCATTAACCTCCAAATTAACTTATAACCATGGTTAAAGTTATTATTGGTAGTTGAGGTCACAAATCCCATTTTTTGGGAATGTGGGATGAGTTATCACAAACTCCCCACTTAAATTTCTGACGTCCTTGTCAGGTTTACCCAATATTCTTCTTGTTCATTGGCGATGGTGCGGGATTTGTCTAAGGGCCACCTTGTTAGCAGCTTAATGAGACTCACTGCTTATTTCGTCAGCTATACACAACTGTTTGGTAGTGGCTTAATGATATAGAAAGTGACTTATTCAGTAAGCTTCTAGAGGGGAGTTTTATGCAGAAAGCCATCTTTTCTCCAAACATGTCCCTACCCAGTTAAAAAACACGCTCCTTCCATCTTCGAAGAAGCATCCCAAGCAAAAACCTTTCCAATCTATACAAACAAATTAATCCACACAGACAACTTTATCCATGCAGGACTTAATGAAAAACCAACCAAACAAGCTATGAGAAGCTAAAAAATCCCATTTTTCAACAATGTGGGACGAGTTGTCACAAATTCCCCCAATTAAATTCTTGACGTTCTCGTCAAACGTAACTAACAATCTCTTCATTCATTGTCGACGTGGGATAGTCTAAACACCCCCCCACCCCCACTCCCACTCCCACTCCCACTCTTTTTTTGGGACTCATCAAACACAATGAGGTTTACTCCACCATCTCGATGGTACAAGGAATCGGCTCCGATACCATTTATAACGCTCCAACAATTTGAGGCTATAAGGAACTCACGAATCCCATTTTTGATCAATGTAGGACGAGTTGTCAACTGTATCAACATAACATTTCAGGTTAGCAAAATATTTTTCACCATACACACACGTATACATACAATCGAGCCAACTTTTCATCTTCGAGATGTAACAAGCTTTGCTGATTTCAAACAATATCATCTAGCAATCATCAGGAGAAGAATCTTTTTCAACATTTTGGTATTGATACAGGTATGAACATACCAAATAATATCCAAAGTTGATCAACCCAATAACACTCAACACCCAGTAAACATTATCCATCCTCCCATCATTGATACCRTCMGGCARCCATCCYGTTGTTTTCCKAAGAAAGTCGACCACCRCMGTCCCYAWATARAACGCGATCCCMATRAACATYGCCACCATTGCAGCCGCKGTGCTYTTAAGYGACTTMGGAAACTCTTGGTARTACAACGMCACTTGACCYGGGARMTGAARCSCKTCTGCAACACCCACGACCACTAGCTGAGGGACCATCCAGAAAGCCGACATAGGCACGATTGAGTTGCCGTTGAGCTTGTGGGTTTGAGCCGTAGCGAGCCGTTTTGACTCAACCAGTGCCGAAATGGCCATGCTTGATATGGTGAGAGCGTGGCCGATCCCTATACGTTGCAAGGGTGTGGGGGTGGTACGGGTGAGCTTTTGGAATGTGGGAAGAAGGAAACGGTCAATGAGGGCAAGAGAAATGGAAGTGGAGAGCATGACGAAGACCATCATGGTCCCAGCTGGGATTTGGAAGGTTGGTCCGAGATGACGGTCCATGGCTAGAGCTTGGAGGACTATGAGGCTCATCTGGATGGCTATGGGGGTGCACAAGAGGATACCAGTTGACCAAAGAGGGGAGATTCTGATTAGGATTTTTAGATCCTCTACTTGTTGCACTGTGCATAGGTTCCATGGGTTCTTGATAGAACCATTTGAGGTGGTATCTCCTTGGGTTAGTAGAGCTGCATGGTTCAGGAACCTGTAAGATGATAAACCAAAAACAAGTTCAGTATGGTGTCGTCTTCCAACAAATTGGATAAGCGTTAACTGTGTAATGCAGTCTAGGTTAGCACTAATCACTGACCGAATAAGAATTTATCTCCTAGCTTACCGGTTCAGCATCATGGACTAGTAAGAGGGGCTCGGTAAAATCATTTTTGGCTGGGTAATGTAGGGTAGGGTCTTAAAGATGACCGTAAGATGCAAATGGGGGTGGAAAATGATGCACCCACCCTCACTCATCTGGCATAGATGCAATGATGGTGGTGGTCGGTGTTGTATGTACAATTAGTCATGCTTTGCTTCAATGCCAAGCCTTTTTCACTCATGCCTACCAAAGATGTTATCATATGAAGGTGACCCTATTCTTCTATAAAATTTTAAGTGTTTGTTTGGTTGATTTTCAATTAAATCTTGTATGAACTAAAGTTGTCGGTATAGAGTGTGGATGTTTTTGTTAGAGAGGGTTTTTTCATAAATGGAATGAGCGGATTTCTTGATTGGGATTGACGGCTTCAGAAAGACCTTGGTTTTTTGCATGAAGCTCCCCCTTAGAATCTTATTGAATAACCAACTTTCTATATTATCAAACAACTAGCAGACGATCATGTATAACTGACTGAATAAGCCAGAAGTCTCGTTAAGCTTGTTAAACTATTAATTGATATTAATCCAACATAATTTAATTGTGAAAATAAATATATGATTAATAATTTTTTTCAATAATATCTATAACTATCTTATAAAGCATTTGGCTAAAACTCTTAAAAACTTTTAAAACTCTTAAACTCGTTCATCCCTATCCGATTTCATCCCATATCTGAATTTGTGTAACTAACTGCAGATAAACACAATCAAATATAGGATAAACATCTCATTTTAAATATAAAAAATATAAAATATAATTATTATAATAATTGAGTTGTAAAAGAATACTTAATTATTATGTTTATAAAATTTATAATATTAAACCAAAAATATTAAACCAAAAATAAATTGTTTTATTATTTAACTTAAATTAAATTATATATAAAAAAATAATCTATATTATAAATCATTTGACAAAAACTCTTAAAATCATTTTTTATGCGTAAAGTACTGTTTATTAATACATATTACTTAAAACTCAAGATTATAAGTAAATTGTGCGTAGATTAAATTATATAAAAATAATAATCTATACTATATTATAAAACATTTGACAAAAACTCTTAAAAACTATTTTTTATGTATAAAGTACTGTTTATTAATGCATATTACTTAAAACTCAAGATTGCAAGTAGATTGTGCGTAAATATAACTTATTAAAGCTCCATATCTGAATTCGTTTAACTAACTGTAGATAAACATAATCAAATACAGGATAAACATCTTATTTTAAATATAAAAAATCTAAAATATAATTAGGATAATCATTGAGTTTTAACAGAATATTTAATTATTATCTATTAAAATGTTTACATTATCAAACCAAAAATAAATTATTTCATTATTAAATTTAAATTAAATTATAATAAAATAAATAAATTGAAGAAATTATATAAAAATGAGAACTTTTAAATAGTTAATTTGATATTAACATTGATATTTTTTTTTTCAAATTTTTATGATATCTTCAAATTTATATTTTATTCAAAAATAAAATCATTAATGATTTCTTAAAAACACATAAAATCGTATTATAACATCGACAGAGACAAATAATAAAATATAATATTAAAATCGAGATGTGTCTAGCTGCATTGCGCGAATAAGTATTACTAAATAAAAAATTGGTTGGTGAGTTCAACTTGGTATTTCATTATTATTTCCTGCATAAAAAATTCTATTTGTGTATTGAATTATTTCAAACTTAATAGGGGATATTTGTTGGCTTCATTCGGAATTGCTCATCGTATCAATTAATTACCACGAATCATGACAATATGTTTTTTAAAATTACATTATTATAATAATTATAATAATAATAATAATAATCCCATTTGTCTTTCTCCACAATTCCACCATAAATAAGTTATTTTTAGAAGACCACAACCAACAACTTTATAATATGATATAAATTTATATTTTAATTATAAAAGAACTTATTAATTATATATTTATTATCTAATTATCATAATAATGGGTGGGTTTGAGATTAGAGGTGATCAAGGGTTCAAATCCCTTCTTCACTTCTTACGCCTCCCACCTTATCTCTACTTTTCACGTGATCTTTCGTCTAATATAAAACCATTATATATAAAAAGGAAATAAAAACTTGGAGATGCTTACTTGAAGTTGTTTGTTGGAGTTGTTCCCACTGGCTTTGTTCCTCCGACATGTGTCTTTTGCCGGTAATCTTCACTTTTTTGTGATAACGCAACTTTCCTTTTCAGGAAAGCTGCGATTACAACACAGGCCAGCTCGGTAAATGGGCTGACCTGTGGTTTTAGCAGCCGATAGTATCGTTTGCCCAACACAAAAATAGCTAAACCAATTACGTTAGCCACAACACATAGACCATATCCGAGTCCCCAGCTCACATTATCTTCGACATAAACGATCCCAACGACGCTAACAAGTGTCCCAGCATACATGGTAAAGAAGTGCCAGTTAAAGAAAACCCCTTGGTGCTTCGGTTTATCGAACTGATCCGCTCCCATTGTGGCCAACGTGAACCGTGTACCCGCTAGCCCGACGCTCGAGAGAGCCAGGCTCGTGTACAGGATCGCTAGCTGAGATTTCGATGGACCGACACAAAGACTCGATCCGGTTTCACATGGTGCGGGATACAACGGATCGAGTGTTGCGGTTAGGGTTAGTAGTAGAATTCCCGCCAACGATATGAGCGACGAAACTGAAATGACCGAAAACGAGCCAAGAAAGGAGTCGGCAAATATGGCTCCGAGGATCGGGAACAGGGTGGTGCAACCATTGACGATGTTTGCTATCTGAGCAGCGTCGATACTTTTGACATTAAACTCATTGATCAAATACACGATAATATTGTTCGTCCATCCTCCAGCCGCGAGTGTCAACGCCGCCATAGTTGCTACAATCAAATAAAAAAATGGGTATATTCAATTACATTAATAACATATAAGATTTAAGCTCACAACCTAGAAATTCACAAAATTAACCATATTTGGATACCTATGAGGAAAGGGAAGGTGATCCAGCCACCTTTGGTTGTGGGTGCACCAGATGGTTGTGGTTCTACATCCATGGTTGCAGCCATATGTTCCTAATGGTTCAAGAATACAAAGAGAAATGTGTGTATATTTTGGGGTAGATATAAGGGGAAGAAATGGTAGGGCATATCAATAATTTGGCATGGGGTTTAATTGTTGGTGTTTGTGGTTTGTCAGAAATTACATTTTTCATCTCTATAGTTTTGAAATTATAAGATGACTATCGTGAGTTGTAAAAACTTTTAGATTTGGTCCTTTTCTGTAACGGTTGTTAAAAGAATTTCGTTAAATGAGAGATATTTTCGTTTTTTTATCGATTTTTTCGTCTTTTAATCAATCAAAAACCATAAGGACTAAAATGATAAAATCAATTTGATTAAACAATTCGATAAAAAGACAAAAATACCCTCATTTAAAGGAGTTTTTAACGGCAGTTATAGAAACGGATCAAATCCGAATGTTTTTACAAACCATAATGGCTATCTTATAATTTTTAGAACTATAAGGACGAAAAATGTTGTTTCTGAAAAATGATAGATACCAAGTTTGTAGTTTACTCATTGTTTTATTAAAAGACCCCACAAGGGGAAAATAAATGGATTATTTATTAAGCACATTTGTTGACTTAAAAGAGTTAGAAGTCCAATTGATTATTGGATCAATAATGGAGTTGACTCTTATTTAGCAAACGTCTAGCGGGTAACTGGGTAAGTGTTTATAGGCGAAAGTCATTATATTTAAGTATTTTTTAGTTGTTTTTTCATAAAGCTATCTATGTAGATTAATCTATCCGTGTAGATTGAAAAAGTAGTTTAGTGAGTATTTTTCTAATTAGTTGTGGCATGTTTTAGAAAGAAAAGAAAAACTTGACTTTCTGTATAAAATTCTTTCCTATAAACTTACTGAATAAGTCACTTTTTATATTATTAAATTATTTTCAAACAATCATGTATAGCTGAGTGAATAAGAGGTTGTTTGCCTACCTCTTAATAAATTTATTAAGAGAAAGCCTCTGAATCGTTAAGAAGTGAATCTTGTTTGGCAAAAAAAAATTTGTCTCTTAATGGTTCTAAACCACTTTGAATGATTTTGTATCTTTGGCCTCTTATAACCAATTAGCATCTTAATTTCATTCTAAATAATTACCAAAGAATTATATCTCTTTTTGTACTATATTATAAGAGCCTCTTAATCATTCTGACCACTTAAATCATTTTATACCAAACCATTCATCAACTGTTAAACAGCTTCTTATCATACAATATTCCTTATCATTGAAAAGGATTGTTGTTAAAAAATTATCCTTTAAGTCCTTACCGGTTTGTAAATAAATATGCAATATTATTTACATATTAATAATATAAATATTTAAATAAGTAGTAAAACAAGGATGAGTAGAAATAAGAATAATAAAAAGGTTGAAAATATAATTAAAAAAATAATAATAATATGAATATCAAATTAAATATTATAATCTGTTTGTTTTAAACTATGATAATATTTTATCGATTTTTTATTTAAAAAATAAGATATGAAATTTTAATATTTAAAAATGTATTAATTTGATTCTAAAAAAGATTTATTTAACAACAAAAATGCTTAAAAAAATAGTCGATCTGGACATGATTCATGCTTGACGAATACTCATACTAATAAGCCCAGAAAGCCCATTGGGCTCATCTTTCACACATCTGTTACTTAAAAAACAAAAACAATTCACAATTTTAGGGTCTACTTGTTACCTGTTACTCTGTTAGTATCTTAGGGGCAGTTGAGTAACGGCTTACTGAGTCATATAATAGATATTGCTGATTCACACAGCTATGTATCAGTGTTCGGTAAGAGCTTAATCGGTCATACAGTGACTAATTCGTTCGGCTAAAATACCACACTCCTATCCACTCAGTCATTACTTTTTCTCCAACTATCTTTCATCCAACTGCTCTCATTAATTTGAAATTTATTCTTTTTAAAAAATCATAATTTTATTTGATCCGGTGAATAGTGGTGGGCGACGGTAATCCGTCGGTAAAAATAAATCTTGGATTTATTTTTTAATCAAAAAAAATCTCAAACGGATTATCGCGGTCACCACCATCCGTATTGTTGATAAATAATAGATTAATCCGACATAACCATTTATTAAATTAAAAAATATATATGATTCACAGATGGGTTTGAGATTAAGATGATCAAAGGTCCAAATCTCTTCTTATATTTCTCACCTAAACTTTCATTCTCACACTATCATTTACCTAGAATGCATATTATTCTTGCCTCGATTAGAATCCTCATATGCAAAGGTATTCTCCCAGGTTCAAATCAAGGAGAAATATAAATCCCCTTGTGACTACGGAGGTTCAAATGCGGTGACTTCGGGCTATCTGCAAAGCAAGTAGGCTCACATAGCGGGTTGGATATCCAGGTCAATAAAAAAAATTTGTATAAACTACACGAATAGTGCAATGAATCATGTTGATCTAGAGTTTTAAGATTCTTCGTCATTGGTATTTATAACGATATCCCTACAAGAAATTATGTTGAGACGGAATATGTTTGATAAGGTTTACCCCATCATCATCTCGATGGTATAAGGATCGACTCTGATACCATTCATAACGTTCCTACAACTTGAGGGCATATAAGGAGCTCACAAATCCCATTTTTCATCAACGTAAGACGAGTCGTCAACCGTATCAACCATCTAACACACACAGACACACACACACACACGTATACATACAATCGAGCCAACTTTTCGTCTTCGAGATGTAACGAGCTTCGCTGATTTCGAACAAAATCATCTAGCAAGCATCAGGAGAAGAATCCTTTTCAACATTTTGGTATTGATACAGGTATGAACATACCAAATAGTACCCAAAGTTGATCAACCCAATCACACTCAACACCCAGTAAACATTATCCATCCTCCCATCATTGATACCATCCGGCAACCATCCCGTTGTTTTCCGAAGAAAGTCGACCACCACCGTCCCCATATAGAACGCGATCCCCATGAACATCGCCACCATTGCAGCCGCTGTGCTCTTAAGCGACTTCGGAAACTCTTGGTAGTACAACGCCACTTGACCCGGGAGCTGAAGCCCGTCTGCAACACCCACGACCACGAGCTGAGGGACCATCCAGAAAGCCGACATGGGCACGATTGAGTTGCTGTGGAGCTTGTGGGTTCGAGCCGTGGCGAGCCGTCTTGACTCGACCAGTGCCGAAATGGCCATGCTTGATATGGTGAGAGTGTGGCCCATCCCTATACGTTGCAGGGGCGTGGGGGTGGTGCGTGTGAGCTTTTGGAATGTGGGAAGAAGGAAACGGTCGATGAGGGCGAGAGAAACGGAGGTGGAGAGCATGGCGAAGACCTGCATGGTCCCGGCTGGGATTTGGTAGGTTGGTCCGAGATGACGGTCCATGGCTAGAGCTTGGAGGACTATGAGGTTCATTTGGATGGCTATGGGGGTGCACAAGAAGATACCAGTTGACCAAAGTGGGGAGATTCTGATTAGGGTTTTGAGATCCTCAACTTGTTGCACTGTGCATAGGTTCCATGGCTTCTTGATGGAGCCATTTGAGGTGGGATCACCTTGGGTTAGTAGAGCTGCATGGTTCAGGAACCTGTAAGATCATAAACCAAACCAAATAATTTCAATAAGTTAATCGTCAAATTTATTTTGAAGTTGTAACCACCGCTCAGCAACTATTACAGATTCGGCGCAAAATCCATTTTCCTATGGACGGTGGACACTTACGGATATGGCATTACGCATTCAAGGAAAATGGGTTTAGGGCCGCATCTGTAATAATTACGGACCTGGGCCAAAAACTCTAAAATGGTGCGTTTGATTTGCAGGAATGGAATGGATTTGAAGGGATTTGGATTTCAAATCCATTCCAATTCATGTCCGTTTGTTAAAGATGTTCTTATATAACGGATGTCATATGCAAATGAAAATTTTAACGAGTCCCATACGACCCGATGAACAATTTTCAACTAATTATTTTGAGGTCTTACGTTTTCTGAAATTCGAAAGGCGCACGATATTTTTTTATATAAATTAAATAATTTTATTTTTAAATTTTATTTATAAGTTTATATATTATTATATTGATAATAATTACAAAATATTAGTAGATAAGAATCCACAAAATGTCCGATTTTATACGTTATTAGACTCGGGTTTTTCAACGTAAAACCCATAAAATCGTTATCATGTGTTATTTTATATGATTTTTCTTCATTTACATGTTGAATTTAGTACATTAGTTAATACTACAAGGGTACTCGTGCAATGCATCGAGACACATTTCCATTTCAATGTTTCGTTTTATTTTTTATCCATGTCGATATAATACAATTTTATATGGTTTTGAGAAAGCGATTATGTTTTTTTTTTAATAAAATATAAATTTAAAAATATTATATAAAATTTGCAAAAAAATATATCAATATTAGTATCAAATTATCTAATTAAAAGTTCTTGTTTGTTTATTTTTTTAATTCA